ATCACCACCACCACCGGGCGCCGCCCGACCAAAAATGGACGAATCATGGAGGATGAGAATGGGATCAACGGCAACCAAACACCAACCCAGTAACCTCCCTCCGCGACGCTCGGCGGATGAAGCAGATCGCCAGAATGGTGACGGCGGCTACGAAGCCCTAGATCCTGAGGACTTTGATGATGTGTTCGGTGGTCCACCTCGCAGTGTGCTTTCCCGTCAATACTCCGTTGATGCCGACTTCGCGAGGTCAAGGAATTTGGTATTTGAAGATATTTTTAGGAAACCGAAAGGGTATATGGATTTGGGAGGGAGGAGTGATCGGACGTTGCCGGAGTTTAGAATTCCGGAGAGTCGAACAGGAGGAGGAGAAAGGCGGAGGACTGAAGAAGAGTTTTACAGTGATATATTTGGTAACTCCAGAAGATCGAGGTCGAGATCTAAGTCGCATACCAACTCAAATTCAAAATCAAAGTCGAATTCGTCTTCAATCTTGAGTTCGGAGGAAGTGAGTCCGTTCCGGCCGGCGGTGGTGGAAGACGACGACGTCTCTTTCTCTTCCTTTGCTTCCAAGCTCAGGTCAGTGTACTTGAGTCCGTAAAATTCCCAGATTCCGTCTTAGGATTGAATGGGATTCAATTCCATTCCTTTCCTTTATATTATAAGATTAAAACACCTTCAATATATTGAAATAAATAAATAAATATGATTTTATTAATCATAACTGAAAATTTTAGAACTACACAAATGATAAATTGCTAGAATTATATAACACCTTTACTATTCTTTGATATTATAATTCCATCTTATTCCGATTCCGATTCCAATTCCAATTCCTTTGACAAGCTACATTCCTTCAAAAAAAAATTAGCTTCGTATAAAAATGGAAAGCTCATAGAAAGTTTATGATTTTGTGAAGGCCAATAAATGTCTCATTGAAATGGAACACATCGGAGAAGATGCAAACGGCGGAGGAACAACAGGATCTTCCTTGGAATTGTAATTCTTTCGCTAAAACTCAAAGCGTCGAGAGTGATTATATCCAGAAATTCAAAGGCTGCTATTCGGGATTCTCACAAAGGGTTTCATCTCCAGAAATTATCAGTTTTGGACTCGATTCATACACCAGTACTCTCAAGGAGTCCATAGAGGATCTGCAAGTCAACTCCCCTGCATCATCCGCAGTGTCTTCGTTTTATCAGGAGCAAGATGAAGGAAAAGACGTCGATCCAGAAGACGAAGAAGAAGACGAAGACGAAGTTATGAGCTCTTACGTAATTGAAATAAACCCTAGGAATCGGGAAAGAATAGGCGAAGGGATCGGTATAGATGAAGCGATTGCTTGGGCAAAACAAAAGCGTGAAACGCGTAATTTGGAGAAAGTATGGAGTAAAGAAGAAGCTGAGGAAGACGAGTGTGGTGGAGTTGAAGGTGATGCAACTAACAATTCCAAATTATTTCAACTTTGAAGTAGCATTTACATTACTAATTCTCAGTTTGTATGTTCTGTTTCTTTTCAGACACAAACACAAACACAAACACAGCTGGTGTAAAACAGGTTCCTGAAGCGCAGATCACCGGACATTCATCAAGAGAATCACCATTGGTGAACATTTTAGCACTAATTTTCAGTTCATATGTTCTTAACTTCTTATACTGACTGTGTCTGTATTATTAACTCTTCTTAATCTTCACTTTCAGTTGGATAAACAAAAGGAATGGACAACAGAAGAACCACTGGAAAAAGATGCAAGCGCATGTAAACAGGTAATGAAAACCTTGATATATCTATACATGAATCCCATGAATTTTCTTTTAACATTTGTGTTCTTGAATTACTAATACAAGATGGAACTAGAATTGCTGGATGAGGATATAAAATTGTGGTCTGATGAAAAAGAACCAAACATCCGATTACTTTTATCAACATTACATCATGTAAGTGGATGTGGATGTTGTTTCTTTTTTACTTAATGACTTAATCCATAAAGTTATTAACTTTTTTCCAAATTTGCCCTCATTGACATTGTTAGTTTTCGATGAATTCAGATTCTATGGCCTAGTAGTGGCTGGATCATGATACCTTTATCAAACCTCAAAGAAAGCTCAAATGTGAAGAAAGCTTATCAGAAAGCACGATTATGTCTGCACCCTGATAAACTCCAGCAACGAGGTGCCACCATCCCACAAAAATATGTTGCAGAGAAAGCATTTCCAATCCTACAGGTAAATCTCTCTCTCTCTCTCTCACATACACACACACACAGTGAGGATGGGTTAGGAAATATGGTTAGTGATGAGTTTCTTGATGATGTTTTTTGGTTAGGATGCATGGGCTTCTTTTATATCAGAAGATGTTCGTTCATCTGTAACATGAAAGTGGATGCAAGAATCTGTGTGAACATGTTTAGACACACACACACACATACACGTAAAAAACACACACACACAAACACATATGTATGTATGTATATATATATGTAGAGCGAAGGTGTGATGGGTTGTGTATGATAAGAAGGGAAAAGCATAATTTGAGAAGATGACTGCAGAAGAATTTGCAGGAGTGGTGTGTTTTGAAGAGAGAGAGAGAGAAGATATTAAGATAGTGTTTGTTTGTGTCAAGTAAGGATATTCTGACATGTTGATTATAAATTTTGTGGTTTTTCTTTTTTTATTTAAACTTGAGATTAGTAATTTGAATTAATGAGTTTGTGAAATTGTTACGTGTTGGTTGTATAAAAACGTAGTTGGTGTTTTTTGATTGTTGTTATATAAAACTGTTATTTGAGTCATAAAGGCTAATACTCTGCTCATTTCTAGACAACAAACAAATATATATTTTTATTTTTTTTAGTTGTGCCATGACAGTGTTTTTTTTTATCACAACTCTAGTTAAATTGCATGACAAACACTATTGTAAACACAATTATATTCTTTCAAAGTTAATGGGGTCTTATGTTTTCTTGTAAAAGTGTTTAAACTTGTACAACACTAAAATGTAGTTTAAGAAAAAAAATATATGGATTATTTATGTAACTCATTCAAAACTGTTTATTAGCGCTATAAAACCATAATAATCAGTCGAAAAACTAAAAGTTAACTTACCAATCTAAACAAATAAGCACTTTAAATAACCAATCCCAAACTCCTCTTAAAAGACAACCAATATTACACAATGTTGGTAAACAATTGTCTGATTGGAGTCTGAAATAAACTTGTACTAGGAATATATATGGTGGGTTTAAAATCAGAAATATAGTCTAGGCCGATTTTTGCTTTAGACAAAGTGCTTTTTTTTTAATCAATATTATTTCATTTATATTATGCAAAAATGTTGTAAAACATAAATTATGTAAGCTATTTTTATCCGAAAATAAATAAATTTTGAAATATTGATTCATTTATATTATGCAAAAATGTGATGGTGGCAGGAAGCTTCACTAAGGCAACGAGCCCTAGCTCTAGATTCAAGTATCAGAAGGCTTCATTCATTCATTGCTTCCTCCATCAAGAAAGAGAATTTTGATCCAAAAGATGCCGAAAAAGTAGGGTCTTGTTTGTTTGATTGAATCTATTATCTTAAACCTTCATAAAATGAACTAGATGTGTGGTGAATCGAGCTCATATCCGTTCTTGATCCCTCACATTTAAACACACAAAAAGTCACACAATCATTCAGGTCAATCGCAAAATAAGCATCGGGATGAAAAGAATTAAAACGGCCACAAATGGAGAAAAAAAAATTGAAACCACCAGTAATCAGGAAAGGAAAACTCAAAACCACTACAGATCTACAAAAATCACAAATTAAACAAAATCAAAATCAATCACCGCTCCCTGGTCTTTCTCATCTGAATTTGCTAGAGACTTGCTTCTGAAATATTTCAAACACAACATTTCTCAAGCTTCATTCAACAGCTAAACACATATGTAACAACTTTATCGATAAAAAAAAGGAATTAGATTCACTTGTTATGACTTATGTTTATTGATTTTTGTGTTTGAGTGTAAGGATTTAAGAATATCGTATCATATTGGATCCATAAAGTGTATAGTTGCGAGGAAAAACTTTTGGCTTACGTGGCAACATTGGTAGAGGTACCAAATTAATTAGTAAAACATAAGTTTGTACCCTTTCAAAGACAAGAAAAATCACAGAAACCATTTAAACCAATATATTAAATATTGTTGGGTTACGGTGAAAATAACCATCAAAATTATAATTGGAATGCCTAACTTAAAATTTCTATAATCATTATCGATGTAAAATTAGGAAGTCAAGTAGTCTAAATGTAAACAAAGTTTTTGAAAATGGAATCATAACACATTCATTTTGGATACACAATAAAACTAGTTTCAATTTCGAATCTCATAAACTTCGCTCTAAAATAAAGTGAGTTTCATGTTTGAATCTCAAACCCTAAAGTTTGATTTCCAACAACTTTAAACAATCATATTAACTCATCAGCAATGAATAAAATATAACTAATATAGAGGTGGAAGCCTCTTAAACAGGAGGTCTTGGGTTCAAATCTAAGCATAGACGAATTTATTAAATTGGTGAATTTAATATCTAACAACTAACCGGCCGTTCAATAAAAAAAAATCAAACACTCAACACTCCCATTGCTACTCGAATCAAGGTGTTATTCTCCAAAACCACAACATATCACATCAAAACCAACTAAGCAACTAGGCCTACACTCTACTATTCTAATATATACCATGTCATAAAAACTCTATATGAGGACTATCAACGTAAATTGTGAAAAGTCAAAGGGCTTAAAAGAATATTTCATGAATGGTTCTTTGTACAAAAGATTGAGAGTAACCTCTTACCTCATCCATAAAATCATCCAACAACCAATGGGTTTCTACCAAAATTGCCCACCTCACCTCACCCTTCCCTACCCTACCCCACCCCTCACTCTTTGCACCAGATATATAAGATATATAGATATATGCACCCCACCCCTCTCTCTTCCTTCACACACAAAAACACCATGGCTGCAACAACAGCAATGACAGCATTCAACTCATACTCACCTCAAGAACAAGCACAAGAATCAACAGACACCCCTCAACTTTCAAAAAAACCCAAAACCCTCCTCCATAAACACCCTCTCTACACTCCAACCCACTCAAAACTCTCCCTCCAATTCAAAGAAAAAATCCTCTGTCTCGAAGTCATGGGAATCGATTCAGGGAAAGCCCTTTCCTTAAACCCTTCAATCCATTCCACCTCCCTCGATTCCATTCACTCCATCATCACATTCCTCCGATCCAAAGGCATCCAACAGAAAGACCTTCCAAGAATCATCGGTATGTGCCCTCAAATCCTCACATCCACCATCACCAACGATCTCATTCCGATTTTCAATTTCCTTTCACACGATCTCAAAATCCCAGATCACAATTTCCGAAGAGTCATCAACAAATGCCCTCGATTGTTAGTTTCGAGCGTTGAAAACCAACTGAAACCTGCTCTGTTTTACCTTCAAAGACTTGGGTTTCGGGATTTGGAGGCGTTGGCTTATCAGGATTGTGTATTGTTGGTGTCGAATGTGGAGAACACGTTGATTCCGAAGCTGGATTACCTGATTGGACTTGGGTTTTCGAAAAGGGAAGCGATTGAAATGGTTTTGAGGTGTCCTGGGTTGTTTACGTTCAGTCTTGAGAATAATTTTAAGCCGAAATTCGAGTATTTTGAGAAGGAAATGATGAGGGATTTGAGTGAATTGAAGGATTTCCCACAGTATTTTGCTTTTAGTTTGGAGAAGAGGATAAAGCCTAGGCATTTGGAGGCTTTGGAATGTGGGATTAAGATTCCATTACCACTTTTACTTAAAACCACTGATGAAGAGTTTGCAGATTTGTTAAAGCAGGGGGATAACAACAAATCAAGATATTTGTAAATTCATTCGTTCATCTCTTTGTAAGTATTGCGAATAAAGCTAAATTGCAATAAATAGCTAGCTACTTCTATTTATTTATCTATTTATAGTATTTTATAGTGAAATTTTCTTTTTTTGGATGACTTTATAACAAAAAAAGTGAAAGTAACAAATCAATGGAAATATGTAACTATTTTAACCCTCTATGGAAATATGCAACTATTTTGTTACATTTAAAGACTTCTAATAGACATCAAAGATAATGCAAGTGTTCTATTAAACATCATTTGTCATAAAATCGTCTGAAAACCATTACATTACATAGTTTAGTGTTTAAGTCATGACAATATATATTATATATAGATCAAACGAAAACAAGAAATTAAAATAATTGGGAAAACATCCACAAATCCATTATCAAGGAGGTAGTGTAGTGGTAGTACCTGAAAAAAAAATGAAAAAAGAATAAAAGATTTATTAAAATTTTCATTGAAGCGCTTAATCCAAATAGACAAAAAAGATACCTTTCAGATCTCCATTTGCTTCATCTCCATTTCTCCACACAATATCCTTCAATCCAGTAGAAAGGTTCTTATAAAACTGCATACTCAACAACAAATAATATATATAACATTAACAACATTTTCTCCTGAACAAGATTTATAAAATTAAAATCAAACATCAATGCAAAGAATTCATGTCACTTTTATTTTGTATACCTTGTGAAATTCTAATGTATCTCCTCCTGCTTTTCGAACCTCAACCATGTGCAATGAAGGTGCCACTTCAAAAATCTGAAAAAAAAAACACTAATAGTTTAATACAGATTTTTATAACCAAAAAAAAATAACAAATAGTTCCCCGTTAAATTTAATATATATATATATATATATATATATATATATATACCTCTGTTGCAACAGATAAATGACCCTTGCGTCCAGTCTTTTCGCCTTGAAGTTTCAACTGTTGTTTAAAACATTAAAATCAAAGGTTAAAAAATGGACCATTTTTTTTAATTTCTTTCCAATTCAAAAATAGAAAAAGAAACATGTTTATTAGATTATCTATCTATATCACCTTGTAGTTATTTTTCTTGACATCAAATCCAAGTGGTGTAGCAGCTTCTTCTATTTTTGATATAATCTCATTCGCTGGACATTTGGATGTAAATCTTGTTTCACGCTTCACAAGCCCCTATCAAATTGTTTTTTTTTTTTTTTTTTTTTCAAATGTAAGGGTAAAATAGTCATTTAATCTCCTTTCGATATACTTTGGAATGTAAGGGTAAATATAGTTAGTCATTTAATCTCTTTTTGACATATAATAAAGAAAGCCAAGAAAACGACTTTATTTTTTACTTCATTTATTTTTTAAACAATTATTGGGGAATAAAAAAATTACCATTTGTTTTTCAAAAAGAGAACTGAGATTGAGGCCTTGAGATTTGGAAATAAGCTCAAAAGCATTCATGGTGACAGGTTGAGCAGGGCGTTCATCCCGCCTTTCCACTACAAGGATAGGAGAATCCTACATTTCATAAAACAAAACAAAACACCATCAACACAAGGGTAAAACCGTAAAACGACACATCATCATATCTTAGAGAGAGCATAATCACCCCGGCTTCATTGAAAATAGCATCCACATCAGCAAGACTAACATCCTCTTGTTCAAATCTAGGTGGCACATATCCTTTCTTAAACCATTCATTCTCCACCACTTCAGCTGTCGTAATTCTCTGTCATAAATAAAAAAAATTACAATATTGGATTTTGACTTTTTATTTTGACTTAATACAGAAAAAAAAAGACTTGTTAACATACTGTTAAAGGATTAGGATCCAGAATCCTTTTGATTAGCTTCTTTGCACTTGAAGAGAACCATGGAGGACAAGAGAAGTCAGCCTTGAATATCTGCAATCACTTCAATTATCTTACAAAATATTCCGATATTAACCCTGATGTAAATGTAAAGGATGCTAGAAATCCAAACACCTTCTTGTATAAAGCCATAAGATTTGATTCTTCAAAAGGAAGGTATCCAGCCATAAGAACAAAAAGAATAACACCACATGACCATAAATCAGCCTTAGCTCCATCATAACCCTTGTTGTTTATTACCTAATCAAATACATAAAAACCAAACCCTGACAAAATTAGCTTAATCAAGATCTGTAAAAAAATATATATATGTGGGACCAAAATATAACTTACCTCAGGGGCAACATAGTTTGGGGTCCCACATGTTGTGTGTAATAATCCATCTTCCTGTAAAGAAACTTAGTTCAATCTTCCCTATTTTATATTATGGTAATGATGTTTAAAAGATATTTTAGAAAATCACATCACTTGAGGAAATGGAAGGAGAAATTCAATGAGGGCAAATTAGTAAAAAGTTAGGATTTAATCGGGAAAGTCTCCTTTTTCCGAACTTTCTCTTTGAATTCGTTCTTTCTGCATTAAGTCAAAGAAAGTCAAAAGCAAACACCCAACGGGTGTTTCTTTTTGACTTAATGCAGAATGAACGACTTAATAGAGAAAGTTAGGAAAAAGGAGGCTTTCCCGATTAAGCCCTAACTTTTTACAAATTTGCCCTCATTGAATTTCTCCTTTCCATTTCCCTAAGTGTGATGTGATTTTCTAAAATATCTTTTAAACATCATTTATCCACACAAAACTTAATGGGAAAAAGTAAGAAAAATAAAACACTCACACGAACTTGTTGTGGAAGTGCACTTAATCCAAAATCAGAAACTTTGAGACAACCAGTTGCATCCAATAGTAAATTTTCAGGCTGAAAAAATAAAGAAAGAAATAGTGGTGTTTATATAAGAGAAAAGAAGATGTATTAAAAAAAAAAAAAAAAAAACTTTTAAGTAAGAAAAATGACCTTGAGATCTCTATGAAAAACACCACGACTATGGCAGTAATCTACAGCATTAATGAGCTGCTGAAAGTATTTTCTTGCTTCATCTTCTTTAAGTCTACCTCTAGTTGCCTGAAAAATATAAGGACAATTTTTTTAATTATTATTATTATGCGAATTGTGAAATATGACATGAAATATATATGGAAAATTTAAAGCTACAATGAAAACTTACAATTTTGTCAAATAGTTCTCCACCTGTGACAAATTCCAAAACAATGTATATTTTTGTCTTGCTTGCCATAACCTAATACAAAACAACAATCCCTTGACTATGTTAGTGCAAAAAGATTAAAAATAAACGTAAAAAGGAATGTTTTTCATTAATATGAATTGAAACTTGAAAGGGTAGTAAACTAAGTTTTTATAGAAGATACACGTGTGTAATTAATGCTAAGATTCTAATTTCTATATGTGACTTAATAGTGGAAATGTAGTGATTGACATACTAACCTCATGCATTCGAATGACATTTGGGTGTCTGATAAGTTTCATTGTTGATATCTCACGTTTGATCTGCAATTTCCCAAAAGAAATGTTACAAAAACAACTGCAAACAAAAGAAAACACAGAGGAACTAAATCACTAAATATCGAACATGGCAACAGATGGACTTTTGTGTTCAAAAAACAATCCCAATGCAATTATAAAGAATCAAGCTATAGAGTGAAGAAACAAAACTAGATAGCTCGATGATTATTAGATCGTATTACAGATTTTCAATATGATCCTTCTGCACTTGAATCATGAAAGAACGAATCGCGAAAGTTGATTGGATCAGACATTTGAATGAAGGATTTACGAAGTCAACGTTTATGAACAGAGACTCCATACCTGAGTGATCATCTTATGCTTAAGAACTTTCTCCTTATCGAGAATCTTGATGGCAACATTCTCATTTGTTTCAGTATTTCTAGCGAACTTCACCTTCGCAAACGTCCCTTCCCCAAGCGTCCTTCCGAGCTCATACCTACCGACTCTTGTCCTCGAAGGTCGCGACGACGACATCTGTTTACCCCCTCCTTCTAACCCTCTATGTAAAGTATACCAAATGAAACCCCCGTCTGTTTATCTATCTATACAGAAATATACAGGTATATTCCTATGAATCTTTGACGATCTTTCCAAAAATTGTATTATTCCATCTTCTTTATTCGAAATCGAAAGAAATATCAAGTTAAGATATGCATATACCATCCATTTTCCCCGAAGAATTTTTTCAATCAAATCAAAGTCTCTTCTTCTTACAAGGTTGCCAAACCTGAGATCTGGAAACACTCATCTTCCCCAAAATTTCAGATGTAGAAAGGAGAGGAAGCAAAGAGAAAGAAACCCTAGAACGAATTAACCTCGTAGGAACCGCCTTCGAGATCTTCAAACATTAAAGCATGATCACAATTAGCTGAAAACGGAATCACAACATAACAGGTCTTCAATTTCCAAAAAGTAAACATTCAAAGAGAAAGATTGGGAAAGATAAATGGATTTTTGGCATGCCAATTTTGGGGAAATTGGGGGGTTTTGAGAATCTTGATCTCTTTGGTAAGAACGGAGGGCAAAACGAAGGGGGTTGACGCACACAGAAATCACAATAATTGAATGGCGTGGTTTTGGTTACTTGAATAAGAATTTCATATTCGCATGAATTCTTCCCCAGTACAACCTTTCCCTAATCTTCTAAATTAGTGTATAAAGAATGTTTAATTTTTGTTTTTGTCGTCTTTCATATAATTATAATATATTCCTTAATCACTAAAATACTAAAATAAAATAAGATCTTTTCATAGATATCATAAAATAATCAAAATCTATGCAAAAATCAAAATGTCTTTCTTTTTTTAAATTTATTATGGTTTGTTAAGTTTGGTTTAATTTTTAAAAAGTTGATAGGTTTTGTCCATGTAGTTTCAAACAATTACATCATTAGTCCCTTTTGATGGATGTCGTTAATAACAAGACAAGTCAAAGTAAAAGACCTATATACTTCTTTTTTATTTTTGTTATTCTTCATTTTCTAAAACTATAGAGACTAAATGTGTAATTGAGAAAAAACAAAGCCAAAAAAACTAAAATCTTTAATACCCATCCACCATGTTCAATCCCAACCCTTTGCATTATCTGGTGGATGCACTGCCACCTTGTGTTGTATTAGCAGCTATTTTTTTGAAAACTAGACCGGATCGGTCGGTTCGACCGGTTCAACCGGGAACCGATTTTGGATCCGGTTCTTAAAGGCTAAAAAACCGGTATTCATGTGAACCGGTGAAAACCAGTAAAAACCGGTCGAACCGGAGACCGGTCAAAACCGGAAATTTAAAAAAATCTATATATATTTTTTTACTTTTTGTATTTTTTTAATATAATTATGACATCATCCGGTTTTTGAGACCGGTCCGACCGGTTTGACCATCTGAACCATCGAACCAGTAATACGAACGGTTCGGTCTCCGGTCCGGTTTTCAAAACCTTGATTAGCAGCGTCCTTCGACAACATGTGTTCACATTTTCTCCTTAAAATGAAAACCTATTTGTACCAAAAGCCTCCCCTCGCATCACTTAATCGTGTAACTCTTCGACAAGCAACTCTATCACCTTATTGCTGGTGAGTTTCATAAGTATTTAATGACAATGTTTGTATGAAATGAAATGTCTTGTCCTTGTTTGTTTGTGTTTAGAAAATCCTATATTTTCTACTAGTATAAAAGTAGTCTTCCTTCAAGACCAAAGTTTGTTTCCAAAAATGTATGTCAGTGTAAAAATAACCAATATGTTTGAAAACCTTGTAAATCAATGTATTTTTTAATACCTCATGTGAGTTTTATAACCATACTATTGACTCGGAATGCCTATACACAACGTTCTTCAGGCGTTGGAATGTTATGACGTTTGTCACCCCAAATGGTGGACTGTAGCTAACAGTCAAGGTGCGAGTCGTCAAGCCCGTATAGATCTATACACAAACACCATGTTCCCCCTCCAAGGGATTCTGGTATATAATACAGGACTTGAAATGTGTACTCGAACGTACGTGAAGTTAATGTCTCACAGAACCGTAGTATAAAAACAGATTTACGTGTTAAAATGTTCGTTTGCTCTTGTATATGAAAGTGATTTCTTGAAAATCGTGTTTCTAGTATGTAAAATTTAGCAATATCCTCATAAAACTATACCTATTATAGTTTTCTAAAAGTGTGCCTCGTTTGTTTTAGAATATCTAGAAAAGGAATCACTTGTTATCAAAGCATAGATTTTTGTAGAGCCTAAGATAGACACATATACATTAAATCTAGGAAAATTGTTTAGTTTATACATGCATTACAACAATTTATAGTTTTAAAGATAGAATGCTATTGTAATATATTTTGTATACGGGAGTTCCCTATAAAGTTTATAAATCACATATGATTCTACTTAATAAAAGTGTATAATAATCTTTATATATAACACCCGATACTAGTCGTGTGTTTTACTTGTATTTCCTCCCCTTAGAAAGCATATAAAAGCGTTTAGAATATTTAAAAAGGGTTAATTAAGGGGTATGAACTCACTTGAAAGTTTGAAGATAGCGAGATGGAAAAACCGGGCAGAGTTTCGTCTCGGGAAACGGATTTTTCTCGGGATTCTCGGGAATCTCGGGAGTAAAATCGACCTTCGGGACTTGAGCAAAATGACCAGGGCTTCGGGGTAGTGCGGGCACGAAAATCGAGGCAATATCGTGAGAGAAATGAGAGAGATGGGGTGGATTTCTCGGAACCCTCGCATCTCTATTTATAGGAGGCTGATAGGCCTCGTTACGCGGGGCGTACGCACGTACGCTGGGCGTACGCGTACGTCATGCGTGACCGAGTCCTCGACTGCCTCGGAGCTCGGATGGGACGGGTCGGTGGTTCGCACAGGCGCGACGTGGACGATTCGAGGCCAAGGCCTTCGTGTACGTGGGGCGTACGGGGTTACGCGGCACGTAACTCGGATGAGTACGTTGACTCCCCCTTCGGATAATACCGGATTTTTATTTAAATAAATATATAATTTATTTAATAAACTTCAAAAATTCATATCTTCTTCATACGAACTCCGTTTTCGACGTTCTTTATATCCCTGCGAAGGTGAGACCATACTCTACAACTTTCGTTTAGATTCAGTCAGCAAATTCCGAAATTATTTTTATTATTTATTTATAAAATGTCGTGATTAAGAAATTTCTTTAAACAAATCATAACTTCTTTATCTGACATCGGTTTTTGCCAGACTTTATACTGCTGAAATACCATTATCGAGAGCTTCGATTCTCGTTTAGGTCATTCCGGCCAAAAGTCGCTCGATCTCCGATTCGAGTTTTTAGTTGTTTGTTGCTAAGCCGAATTTGGAAAAATCTTAACTTCAATATACGAAGCCGGATTTGGGCATTCATTTTACGTACGATCCCGGTTTAATGATATAAAACATAGTAGGTAGTTAAATAGAAACTTTTTGGACATTTTAATATCAACGTTAATTTTATTAACTCAAAAGTGGTTACAATACTTGACCTATTAGGTCATTACAAAGAGTTGAAATATCGGGTTGTCACATTCATAGAGCTACATCAGAAGACATTTTCACACTTTAGTGGTAAACATGGAAGATAATATAAGATAATTTCGTTTGGAGAGGGCGAGGCAACAAAGGCATGCTCCAAGTTCATATTAGAGCTGGAGATTAAATCTAAAAATTAAAACTCATACACATATCACCTTCATGGATTTTTTTGATTCTTAATCGGGAAAAATTGACTGTCATTTGAATTTCATTTGTTTCTTGTTTACATAGCCTTATAGTTAGGTTTCGTTTTTTTTGAACAACATACACATGCACCAACTACTTTACTCGTAAATTAGAAGTGGAGATTAAATCTACGTCTTTCATCCTAAGCGAGAGTTGAACGCTCAACCTTTGGTTGCAGGACATATCCTTAACAACTTGTGATACCGCTTGGCCAAGGCCCTTTGGTATTTTCATTAACTAGTATGCTATGAGATACATACAAGTATCACACAACCCGTGATTATTTCTAGTGATTACTAACTGAAACTTGCATATAAAGGTCAATTTTTGATCTATGTATCATACAATACTATGTGGGATTCTTTAGCTTTAACTGAAACTAGTAAAAAAACATGGGCTAGCCCCGGGTACTTTTTTTTTTTTGTTAAAATACTTTGTGTAACATTGTACTTTATGCTTCAAAAATATGAGACTCGTTTTATATTTAGATGATGTGACTATAACTAAGTAGAATTTTAAATTACGATGCCATAATAGTAGAACTAAAAGTAGCATGCTATAATGTATACACATCGTCCAAAGTAAGTCCCCCTTTCTTGTATTCAACCCTTAATTATCACCTTGGAAGGTTTCATATCGATGCAACAAACAACATGTAACGACTCAAAACTCCAAGGTAAATATTTTTTCTATTTTAAAACTATAAATCATACAAACTAGTTATTCTAAAACCGATCAAAGTGAGTATCATTTGAACATCAGAGTAATATCATTAATTGCCAATGTGAAAAAACTCTAGAAGATGTTGTGCAGTCACACCGGGCTCTTCCCTTTCGAACAGAAAGTACCTGAAACCATAAATATGAAACTGCAAGCACAAATGAAACATTCTAAAAAATACGGTCCAAAAAATCCGTTTTTATTTGTAATAAAACCATAGTAATTCAAATCGTCTCATAAAAACATAAGTGGTAATATCTCAAGACATCATGTCAAAACGTTGTATCAAAATCACATATCAAAATATCAGAGTAAATCATCCCAGGCTAAATGTTGTGTTGTGTGCAATGCAATCATCCCGAGCTCTTCCCTTTGCTACCAGAAGTACCTGAAACCAAAACTGAAAACTGTAAGCATGAAGCTTAGTGAGTCTCCCCAAACTACCACATACCATACAAATAATCATGCTACTAAGAGATACAAGCCCCGCCCACACTCAAGGAGATACGGGCCCCGCTCACACT